TTTCTTGTTTTCTTGCTGACTTTAATATAATGATACAAATGTTATAAAGTTAAGCAGAATAATGCACAGGATTATATTTCAGAAAATACTACATTTCTTAGCAAAAATGTGACATTGGTACACCAAGAGACAAGTTGTGTTTGTAGAAGTAATGGCACTAAAATGGTGTATGCAAAAATGGTGCAAGAGACAACATGCATATCTATCATTTCTCATAAATCACCCATTATTATACAGCTATGAAAATCCAATCCAATATGAAAACCAAACATTGTTTGGCCAGACATCAGATCATTTCAGTTGTCATAAATAATTTTCTGTACAATATTTCTCAGAAGAAAATGTACACCCAAACTGTAATAGACGTTATCCGAAATCCCGCAAATGTCGATTTTTCCCCAACTACTCCTGGGGTGCAATCAAACTTTTACTGTAATAGGTGCATAAATGTTCACAACAGGGTGATCAACGTGATACATAAATAACACATAGATTTGTTAGTATTAAACAGTAAAAATATCATCCCACGAAAAGATGCTGTAACCTGAGGCAATTTAGCCTCGCATTTAAGAGACCTACTACATAAAATGCCCCAAGCAATAGAACGAGTTAAAATTAAAACCCTTTCACTCAAATTGAGATCAGTCTTTTTTATACTATGTGATAAAAAGATTGATTTTCATCATCCTACATTGAAAGTAATTTTATGCCCCAAAAACAAAAAATGATATTCTCTAAGACTTTTATTAAAGGCTCATTATTTCCCAAAAATGCTTTTATTTTTTCCTTTCAAAACAAATAATTTCACATTCAGTGCTACTTTCTTCAGGTGATAAGCATCAAACATGCTCTAAAACCATTATTTAAATGTTATAAATCTCATGTTTGCTCTTCTTTCTAAAGAAAGAAATACTTATTTGTTTCTGAGACATAATGTGCCTCTTTAAGACAAGAAAAACAAGTCAAGTTGCACACACACAAAAACATGAGTGCTCCTCATGATCTTGATGAATTAACTTATTTGGCTTCAACAATCAATATTTGCCTCACTAGGTCATCACCTGTTCTATAAGCTTATGCTATTTTCCAAGAAAATTTTCTTTTATTCCAATCAACTGAAAGGAGAGAAATTTACTTGGTGGGTTCTGTGACCAAAAACAATTAATTTCAAACCTCTGGCACATTGCGAAAATTAAATATCTGAAAAGAAACATGACTCCCTAGGTTTCTGTAAATGGTATGAGCAGATATAGAGACAGTACATGGAAATACTGTCTGTTATTTAAAGACAAATAGAATGCATACAAAGAGGGATGGGGCTTTAGTCATGTAAGTTATTTATAATGATTTTTTTTCTAATTGATCAAAACAGCAGTTAATTATTTTGGCTATTTTGGTCAGTTCATACCAGGAAATTAACTTCATGATTATAGTTCAAATTTTGATCTGTTTTTATAATAGATATTCTAATATCATTGTATGCAATTTAATTTTTGCAAATCTTTACTATCTAATTCTTTATCCATGTAAAATGCTCAGTTCTTAAAGGGACTTGACTAAGGTTTTTGGACATGAGGGGACTGGAAATAATTTGCCAGGATTAATTTCTCATTTGATATAGGTCTATACAAATAACTTGTGCGCAAAATTTCATATCATTTGCTCACTGCATTTTTCAAAAAAACAATTATTCTTATTGTGAAAGAAAAGCATTGCAACACTTTTCACTCTAATAAAGATAAGAAAAGCACAAAAGTATGATTTTTAACTTAGTTCTGATTTCATTTCTTATTTATCTTCTGTATATATTTCTGTTTTAGGAGCCCCAGATGTTCTATGTAAGAAATTCAAATTTAATGTTTTTAGGCTTTTGGCCCTCAGAGGAGTTCCTTTAAATTGATCAGTCTCTTAATTTCTTTTTCACATCCTTACATTTAATATTCTGAGAGGTAATTAAGTTGAAGACCTTTATGTCCTTTGAAGTAAAAAATTCATTTAAATGGTTAAGGAAGTTCATTTAAATGGTTTGAAGTTAAACAATCACATAGGGGCATGGGTAAAAAACTGCTGATACAGGTTCCTGGAAAATTCAAAATGAAAAAAAACACACACATAAAATGACAGGAACTGTTATTTTTAAGATGAAGTTTAAGTACAAACAAATCCTCTATAGAGTTGCCACACTGCATGTTCAATATATCAGTTTAATTGCAGGAAGAAATTAAAGCAGATGACAAAACATGTGTAGTTACACATGATTTATTCAAACCCTGATATTTAAACAAAAAAACTTATAGCAACAGCTTTGGAAAAAAAGCTTAAACCTTGGTATTTTGAAAATGGCTTTAAATTTGATTTTAATGTAAGAATTTTGAAAATCTAAGTTCCTGAAACTGTTTGATTGTATGTTTTTACTGCTCACCAAACAATTCAGGTCATATGGCACCAAAACAGGAAAGATGATTGGGGCTAACCTCAGGTGTTTCAAACTTAAAGCAATACCAGGGGGTCAAAACCACCTCACCTGCAGGTGCTAAAAGACTCCAGTAATTTAAACCTATTAAGTCACCTCTTAGGATCAGGCAGGATTAAATGGTGGCTGCAATTCTGATGCTTCAACCCGTAAAGGCAACTCCTCAGCCACAAGGGGCTCCTCAAACTGTACATCTATTCTCTATCACTCAAATGAATGACTCAATACCATGTAAAAAAGAACTAGTTCACTGTATGGTATTTTTAAAACGCTTAAAAAGTGATTTCAAAATTATCATTTTTAAAATAAAAGTACCACAAACTATGCATCTCTTTTTCATGCAAATATGACAGTCAATCAATTCCATGTAAAAAGGACCAGTTAACTGTATGAAATCTCTTCTCATTAAAGTCATATTAATCTTATACAATTTCACATATTTCCCTTTTTTAGGCCCTGGAACAACATCAAATTTCAATTCATTCACATGTAACACTGGGTAATGAAATATTTTCCCAATTACCATTTCTTTTCTATTAAGGAGAATGTCCGATCCCTGAAGGGCAAAGTGGTGAATGTAAGTGTTATATTTCCTGAAATGTCTCGGAAACCCTAGCCCTCCCTGGAATTATCCCATGTTAGAAAATATAATATATCTGTGAGGAAGACAAACAATACATCCATCATGGCTGATGATAGCCAGTAAGACTTTGGTGTCATCTGGGAGAAATAAGGCAGACTTACAAGTTATGATGGATTTTCACATTTTTTTATATCAAAGTAAACAAACTGTCTGTTATATGTAAACTATGAAAAGGAAAGATCAAACAGGGAGAGTTATGTTCACTGAGAAAACACAGCAAATACCCTTCCATCAACAGTTACTGCATTATCATAATGATTACTATCAAATATTTTAAAGTATATAAATATCATCCAGAGCAAAAAACTGTGTCCTGAGGTTGAAGTTGAGGCTCACATTATTTTCAATAAGGGATGATTTTTACTGTTACTTACAAACCTATGTGTTATTTCATTTTATTACCCCAAACAAATCACAGGCACGAGTATCGGACTTGGGAAGAAAAAATATGACCAGATTGATAAAAAAACCTGTGTTCATCTTAAAAGTGTCAAAAAACAAAAAAAAATGTAAATAATGACCCCCTTTAAAAATATACTATAAGTTAAGAGAAGGCCGGAAACTCCAGATTCGAGCCTACGAGCAAGGGATTCATTTCCCGGGCCGTTGTGAAAACAATTGGCCAGACAATTAAAAAAAACTTTTATCACTATTTCACGTTTATATTAAGCTTCAAAATGAGACCAACCCCAAGTCTCTAGCCCTTCCCGTTCATGAAATATCTATCAGGAAACGAGCGAATTCGTGCTAAAAATCCTTGGTAGACAGAATTGCGGCACAACAATTCGGTAAGTAAACATAGACTAATACATGTATGTCAGCTGACTACAGGTCAAAATTACTTGAATTTACTAAATAATATTACTAAATACATTAAGTTGGACCACTCACAACTGTCAGTAGCATCTGATACACACAATATTCGAGTTTCAAACATTCACACGGTCTTTCAATCGCTTTCTACGCCATTAGGCATCCTTGTGTGAAACGTTGCGGTTTTCGTTGCTATTGGCCAATCAGAAGACTCGTTACAAAATATCGAACAGCTGATTGACAATGGCGTAGAAAGTAATCTAAAGACCGTGGAAAGGTTTGAAATTCGAATTTTGCGTGTATCAGATGCTACTGACGGTTGTGAGTGGTCCAACTTAATGTATTTAGTAATATTATTTAGTAAATTCAAATAATTTTGACCCGTACCGTACCCGGCTGGCAAACATGTATTAGTCTATGTTTACGTATCAAATTGTTGTGCGGCAATTTGTCTACTTAGGAATTTTAGCATGAATGCTCTTGTTTCCTGATAGATACATGTATTTCATGAATGGGAAGGCTAGAGACTTGGGGTCAGTCTCATTTGGAAGCTTAAATTTTTTATAAACATGAAATAGTGATAAAACTTTTTTTAATTGTTTGGACAATTGTTTTCACAACAGCGCGGGAAATGAATCCCTTGCTTGTAGGCTCGAATCTGGAGTTTCCGGCCTTCTCTTAACTTATAGTATTTTTTTAAAGGGGGTCATTATTTACATTTTTTTTTTGTTTTTTAACACTTTTAAGATGAACACAGGTTTTTTTTATCAATCTGGTCATATTTTTTCTTCCCAGGTCCGATACTCGTGCCTGTGAAACAAATACTTCATTGGGACACTGATTCTATTGGTTTTTCATTTTTACTGTGAAAAAGAACTGTTACATATGTAAACAGTAATCACTTGGTACACCCAATGGCCTATATGAGAAATTAACAAACAAAATGGGAAATTAACAACACAAAAATAGTTGAGGATTTAATAATAAAGAATGCTACTCCTTTAAAAAAAAAATTGCTTCCATTGATAGTTAAGTATGGTACCGTACTTAATGATGGTTAAAGAAAATTACCTCTTTTTGCCATTTCTGTTTCGATAAAATCTAGGCACACTTCATCTTCACATATATCATACGGCATGTTACCGTCTGCATTCACAGCCAGCAATTCAGCACCTCTAAAAGATAAAAAAATTCATATTTATAAAGACTTTGATCCATTCCATTTCATACAGAGTGTATGTATTAATTTAATATTAACCCCTTTTACCACTCTAAATATCTTAAATATAACTTGTCCATCGTTCAATCTGGACGTAACCATTCATCACTTTTAGGGGAAATTTTCAAAATATGTACTGACTGAATAGCAAATAGTTCAGACCATGATCAAATGGCACAGAAGTGCAGGCTGATCTTGGTGTGCACTGGTCAAATAGGTAAAATCAGTTGCCACCGGCATGTCTGAAATATTTTATATAATATAAAAAGAGTTAAGGATGTTGGTACTGAATGCCATAATACTCATTATGAGGATTACAATATGCCAAAAAAAACTTAGTAATAAAGGGTGGTGAATTAACATATAGAAAAGTATCCCATATATAAGGGCATAAACCACTCTCAGTGGTGAACCAGGGTTTTTGTGCCTTAAAACGTTACAAAGTCAATATTACTATTAAAGAGTAATTAACAAGAGCTGTAACACGGAACAGCGAAGCTCGACTCATAAAATGCTGGACACAGTAAGGAAGACAAATTACTAAGAAAGAAAAATCAATTATCTATAATTATGTATTAAGTTATAGTAAAAATTAACATTGTTAACATAAATTGATCAAGGGGAATAATTCTAAAAATAGTCATGCTAGAGTTATGAACCTTGTCACACAACATGTGTGTAATGATAAGAAATATATATTTTAAGTTTGAAGTAGATACCTTAAAAAGTAAAGAAGTTATAATATTTCTTAAAGAAAATCCTAAGTTCAAAGAGAGATAAATCTGTAAATATTGCTTCAAGAGTTATGAACATTGTCACATAAAATGTAATTGATGATAAGGAATATCTCTTTGAAGTTTGAGGTAGATACCTTTAAAACTAAAAAAGTTATAGTAAAAAATAATATTTTTCTAGTAAAAAAATCTAACCTTGTCACATAACATGTGGTTAATGATAAGGTACATAAAATTATATTTGAAGTATGAAGTTGATCCCTTAATTTTAAGAAATAAGTAAGTAACAGTCAAAAATAATATATTTTAAGGAAAATTCTAAGTTCAAGGGGAGATATATAGTCTGAAAATATTTGTGCTACAGTTATGAACCTTGCCACATAACATGTGGATGATAAGGTACATATATTTGAAGTATGAAATTGATCCCTTAAGAAATAAAGAAGTAACAGTAAAAAAATAGTATTTTTTAAGGAAAATTCTAAGTTCAAGGGGAGATAAATCTGAAAATATTGGTGCTAGAGTTATGAACCTTGTCACACATAAGATGTGGTTGATGATAAGAAACATATATTTGAAGTTGATAATTTAAGAAATGACAAAGTTAGAGTGAAAAATATTTTACTGCACCAAAACTTTAATCTGAAATCTGGACGCAGAGGCCAACGCCGGGGCGAGTAGGACTGCTCTCCATATACTAAGTATAGTCGAGCTAAAAATGATAGCTGCATGTCTAAGATGCCAGTTTTATAGAAACATGAGTTGAAGATACCAGTTTTATAGTCACGTGATCTTTCACATCAATGCAATTTCTCCAAACTCAATTATTATGTCTGTCTTCTTTGTTGGTTAAGATGTACTGAATGTTGTAATCTTTATAATAGCTTGTAATATGTCTATTGTAATGTTTTATTGAAGGACTTGATGAAAATAAGATATGGCATTATATGTATTATCTCTAATGCTTTGATGTATGGTCTTAATAAGCTACCTTCGTTAAATAAAGAGCTTATTATTATTATTATTATTATTATTACTATGAATATTATAATTGCTATTATTATTGTTTTATTAATGGAATCTTTCAAACAAAAATGCCAAAAATTCAAATGTAATAACAAATTTATTATGAAATCTAATATGAATTTTAAAGGATTTTTTTTTTAAGATTAAATTTTATAAAAAAAAGTTATCTACTTCAGAAGAAAAATGTTTCTTATTTCCATTAGATTGTAAATAAAACTGCCAATGACTAAAACTGACATCTAAACTTCAAAATCTGTGGCACAGTCTAACAGAAAGTTTTTAAACTGCCAAGGAGATCAGAAAACTTCTCCCCAAAGAGAAACTGGTAAAGAAATAACAATACACTCAGTTTTGTATTTTGTCATTTTTGACATCTTGACATAATATTTACTTCTATCAAACAAACAGGAATATGCAATCTGTTTAATATAAAAGTAACCAAAGTGGAGAGATGCTTGACAGATTAATATATATATATATATTTTTCCTCTAAAATATCATATGACTCGAGACTTGATATTCTCAGAACCTAGCTGCAAAATAACTTTATTACCAAATTTGTCATTTGACTGATTTCACAGAATATGAAATTTAACAAGCCTGAATAGCTTTTTCGCTGCAAAAATGAAAAGAAAATAGCTTGAAGGTTGTCTATAAGGAAAATATATGAACTTGCTTCAGCATTGTCTAGTCTATATTTCTATCTATAGTAATTTTCCCGGAATAATAATATCATTTGTATTCATTAGACACCTTCAAAATATTTCTCGTTTTTCACCTAAGACTGAGAACAAAATTACATCAATCACTATTCTGTTCTTTATTTAATGTCACCAAAGAAAGAATCTATTCCAATTATAGCCTGAACTTGTTTATCTCATTGGTAAGACTGTGGGTTTTCTACAATTTATTTTCTTTTGTTTCATTAATATAAATTTGGGTTGAAAGGGACTTGTTCGTACAGATTGGAGATATAAAGACTTTTTTTCCTCACAAGGAGGTTACTATAGAGAAATGAAAAAAACTAATTTCAATTATTTGATATTGAAGTGATAAAATACTATAAAATTAATACAAAAATGTAATGTACTGATTAAAAAAAGGGAGAAATTGAGCTTTCAAAAGATTTATTTTAATGGATTTGTTATTTTAAACCTTTACGCTGTTGCATTAACACACATTTGCATTTGATATGTGTATTTGAGTTTAATTATATCCGCTACCAACTGTCCATATGGGTGAGTCCTCCAGAAGAAGATAAATCATTTTTAGTCAGGACAAAGTCCCAAATAGTATATTTACAAACCCGTAATTTCCAATCATACAGGGTAACGCCCACTGCAGTGACGTTTCATCACCACTATATACACTATATTGTACACCCATTATTTTCAAGGAAATTTAATTCATAGTGATCATCCGACCAAGACCATTTTTATTTACTCAACTGAAAAATAGTGCTCAGTATTTCTGAAAACTTGGATTTATTGCAAATAGAGGAGGAGATTAGAAATCTATTAGATTTTCCAGGATAGAATAGTACAAGATTCAGAAATATTTCCCAATGTCAGAAGCTTCTACTGGTTCCTTTTTTGTGCCAAGTGTTTAAGCACTCATACACGGGACCTTGGTTTAAAGTCTCATCCGAAAGACTACTTTAGTAATTTTAGTTGGCCAGCCCGGGAATAAATAGTTTTTTTGTGTTTTTTTTAACAAATTGGGCTATGAGTCACACTACAAAGTGCATCTGGGTACATCTGGATTTTTTTTCCTTCGTAATTTTCTGTTTTACATGGCCCCTGTTAATCTATGTAAGATATTTGAATTTTATATTTTGAGGCTTTTGAACCTCAGTTGAGTTCCTTTAATTATAACATAAAATCTTATGAATGAGATCAACAAACTGAAACAAATTCCATTGCACAATTTGCATATCACTCTTTCTTAAAACCTCAGATGTAACAAAATGAAAATATTAAGCTTTTACTTGGGCTTATTTTCTACAGCAAAATACTAAAACTATTTTACAATCATTTAATTGTTACAGACTATAAACCTATCAGGTTTGATTCAATTTGTTTGCGAAGCATTACATAACAAAAACATAATTATTATTTAAAACACGAACTTAGAAAACTCCCTTATGAATCCTTTAAAATTCTTTAATGGAGATACGTTCCAAGTGCAATACGAAAACAAAGTAATTGAGGAAAAAACACAGACTTGTAAGATTGTTTCCCTGACGACACTATCAAATGTGCAACATCTATGTAAAACATGCATGACAAGGCATAAAGCAGGGATAGTTATATAACACATTGTCCTCCTTCCTGATAAATTCTTTAAAATTACACAGTGTACCACCAAATTTCAAATTGGTTTGTTTTAAGGAAAGGGCTGCTTCCTCTACCTGTGAGAAAAAATCCCTGCATGATTCAGTAGGGTTTGCTGGCTTCAATGGAAGTTGCATTACATAGGTATTTAAAAGAAGGAAAAGCATTACATTTTGGAAGTTTGAAACCCATATCAAAGAGTAAATGACTCCCAAACTTCCACTTATGGAAACCCTGTTAAACTGTGATATACGTGTATGCCTTTTACCTAATATTCTAATGAAGAAAAAAGAAACAATTTGTAAATCATAAACACAGATATATCTCCATACAACCAAATCTCGACCATAGACAATACTATATAAAGTTGTAAAGATTTCTTTTTTTTTGTTCTGGTTGTTGGAAAAAACAAAAAGAATGATGCACCTGGGAAATAAAAAGAAGACATGTTGGATAAGTTAATGAAGTGATTCTGGAGGAACTTGTTTATATTACAAGAAGGTCACAATTCTAGCATAAATGGAGTATAACAATATATAAAGATTCATACAGGACAGAATATATCAAAATTCCACAAAATCTCCATATTTTTACTCTTATAAACATTTTTATTTCCTTATAATGTCCCTAAATTCAATGACATTCTTGTTGTATAGTAAATTTTGGCTTTTGCTGTTAAAAAAATAATTGGTTCATAGTGGTGAAAAGTTTATAACCTAGTGGTAAAAAGATTAATACCTAGTGGTATAAAGGCTAAAACTTAGTGGTGAAAAGTTTATAACCTAGTGGTAAAAAGATTAATACCTAGTGGTATAAAGGCTAAAACTTAGTGGTGAAAAGGTTAAAACCTAGTGGTGTAAGGATTTAAGACAAAATTTCAAAATTTGGCATCAATTTAAGAAACCAAATTTGTAAAGTTGAGGTAATACTTAGAACGAAATCAATATCTTGTTTTGTCTAGGAAATATTCATTAAATTTTAGGATGTAAAATATAAATCTTATATAACAAGAAACGACTCAAAGGATGAAACAACTTGATCATAGTTTATGCATATAAGATTAAATGTGGCAGCTACCATACATCCTAATAAGCCTTATATGCTGGATGTCTCATACTTCTTTTATATTGGCATAATTGATACTTATTGCTGCAAAACTTCAGTTAAACCCCTTTTTTTCAAGATTTTTAGCCAATTTTCACATATTTTTATCTTTGGTCATTATCTTGGCAGCTGATCCACATAACTGGCTTTCCTAGATAACTAATTAGTAATTACCAATTTCTCTGCAAGTGACATACTACTAATCTCATATGTTTGTAAGAGATAACGGACCATTTGACTCAATGTCCAAGGTCAATTGTCACTGAGAAGTTATGCCTCACCTCAGGATCAAGCAGCAATACCTTTACATGGGTGCAAGTAGAAAATTTGGAAAAAACCTGAAAACTGTAATTCATAATCATTTTCCTACATAATTTTAACAGTAAAACATGATGAAAATTGTCACAAAAAACCTGAACTTCAGGCAAATACCTGAAAACTTGCACCCATGCCTGTATTAATAATCTGGTGATCTCTCCATTGAGCTTAGCCAGCATACTTGCACTAAACAGAAGCTTTCCTATCAACCTATCTTATTTATGAGATTCACTCAGCTATAAATAAACTATATAATATCCTAGGTGAGGAAATAATCATTGTTTGTTCCTCATTATAAGACAATTAAAAAAAAAATTCTTAGTCCCTATACTCCTGTTGCTCTTCTAAAAGTATACTTGCATCAAAGTCAAAGAAAATTTTTACTGTTGTTCTCTTTGAACACCGAATCAACACTTATATTGAATGACTGATTTATCCATTCTATGAATATAAATGACTAATAACACTTACATTGATGAGTTGATAAGTATTTTTGCTATGAATGACATATATTAGTAAACTTTTCCTAAAAACGACCTATCAAGGCTCTGAATAACTTATCCCTGCTATAAATGATCTCTGAATGCTATTATTATGACCGTAAATGACCACTCCATGCCATAACCATAACTGACCTATCAATGCTATAAATGACCAGTCCATGCTGTAAATGACCTATCCATGCAGTAAATGACCTATCAATGCCATAAATGACCTATCAATGCTATAAATGACCAGTCCATGCTGTAAATGACCTATACATGCTGTAAATGACCTATCAATGCTATAAATGACCTATCAATGCTATATATAACATATCAATGCAGTAAATGACTGATCTATGCAGTAAATGACCTATCAATGCCAGAAATAACCTATCAATGCTATATATAACCTACCAATGCAGTAAATGACTGATCTATGCAGTAAATGACCTATCAATGCCATAAATGACCATCCATGCAGTAAATCACCTATCAATGCCATAAATAACCTATCAATGCTATATATAACCTATCAATGCAGTAAATGACCAGTCCATGCTATAAATGCCATAAAAGATCTACCAATGCCATAAATGGTCTATCAATGTCATAAATGGTCTAATGCCATGAATGATTTATCAATGCTATAAATTACTTTTCCATGCTATATATGACCTTAAATGACCTATCCATACTTAGTATAATAAATAATCTTTCAATGCTATAAATGACATTTCCATGCTATATATAACATATCTGTGCAGTATTAAAGTGACCTATCCATGTCATATATGACCTATCAATGCCATAAATGAACTATTGATGCATTAATAACCAGTCCATGTTGTATATTATAAATTCCCTATCTATGCTACATATTAAATGAAGTCTGCTACCATTTACTAATGAGAACAATTTTCATGCATATATTTACTGATATGATCTTATGCAATTAAGAGATATGGTAAGAAAGTAAAATTCTATGATAATATAAATTCCTTTACAGTTATAACCCCATAGTTAATATCCCTTATTTAAAAACTGGATAGAAGGGAAAAATCCTTCAAAAGTTGGGGAAACTGATACCCTGGTATATAAAGATAATTGATGGAAATGCTACTTGTGTATGTAAGTGATTTTTGTTTTCAATATTCAAAACAATCTGTGGCTTTCTGAAGGGGAAAATATATAACGATAAACCAGAAAAGTGGGAAATACCTGAAATCAAATTCCATCACTTGAGAATGGAATTTACCCAAACATTTGATAAAATTTTTAATTTTAATTCAATTTAACATGCATGGTACATAGCAGAAGCTATCTAAAGGGAGAGCTTTGTCTTTCAGTCAATTTATCAACAAGCTGATAGAAGTCAGCTGCTGTTCAAGTCATAGTTCTGGTCTATAGGGCATTTTAAAGGAATAATAATAATACATGTTCATGAAAAATCATCAACTATTTACATTTATAATACATGTATGTTGACAACTTGCAGATGTGTATTTTTGTCATTCAAATACTCTTTACTGACAAATTTTTGTTGTCCATAAATTATATTTCAAGTAAACACTTCTTATGTGACAATAAATAATGTTTATCAAGTAGATCTACTGTATTTTTTTTCATCTTAATTCAAGCAAGATCTAAAAATATTTTTATTTACTCATAAATTACATTATTCCTGCTTCTAGACTGTAACATGATTTTGTTTGGTTGGGTCACATGTCTGTCAAGATCATATAGCCACCTTTCCAGCATTACCTGAGTAGAACCACCTATCTTTTGTATTAAAGCTAGCTGGATAGGTTTCTCACAAGAAAGAATCCAGGATCAAGTCCCTCACAGGATTTCAACCCACAGAGGTGAGAGGCAAGTAATTTGAAGCCTGGAACCTTATCAAGATAATACTACAAAATTATCTCATCTTATTGTCAAAGTGTTCTTACTTGTCTATAAGTAGTTTGCATAGATGCACGTGTCCGCAAGTGGCTGCAGCATGTAGTGGTGTCCACATCTCACTATCACGTGCATTCACATTAGCACCAAACTCGAGCAATAGTTTCAGCATATCCTCACTGTCATCTATACAACACTGAAAAATACAGATATTCATATACATATAACTAACAAGTAATTAGTAATTACCCATTTCTCTGAAAGTGACTAACTTTTTATTCCACATTTTATTTTTCAGTTGGGTTTTAAGTCACACTAACACAGTATAGGTCATATGGCAACATTCAAAATTTAATGGTAGAGGAAGACCTCAAGTGCCCTTCCATGCATTATTTCAGGTACAAAGGGCACACAAGTAGAACCACCAATGTTCATAAGCCAGCTGGATAGCTTCCTCACATCGAAGAATCCAAAGTCCCAGATGGGATTCGAACCCACAGCAGTGAGGGGCAAGTGATTTCAAGTCAATGACCTTAACCACTCAGCCACAGACGTCCCCCTATAATTCCACATGATTTGTGAATCAGTAGTGAGCAACAATTAACAACTAGACTAAATGTCCCTGAGCATTTGTCATGGAGAAGTTATCACTTGCACCAGGATCAAACCAGCTGGATTATGAATCAAATACTTTGCCCATGGACTAACTTACATATCACCCATTTGATTTGAATACTGGTAACATGATGTACCCCTTATCCCATCAAAACATCGGACTGACCAATCCTGAAAACATTATACATTATACCTTGCTGAATAAGTGTAAATGGACCTGTCCTGTTAATCTCCCAACAAAGAAATAACTACAACATTTTTTCTGTATACTGTCAGATTATTGTCAGTGTTTCTAAACCGTCCAGTTTGAGGGACTTCAATATCAGAACATTTTGAAAAACCAAACTGCCCCATACTAAATCTCTTTTTAAAACAACAACAATTTGCAATTGTCAGAAGGTCAAGATCATTGTTGATCAAGGTAAGGTTTCAACAAGTGAAAATTAAGCTTTCACATGTATTGTCAATTGGTATAATGAATAAATTTAATGGATTTCAAATGAAAATGTATCTACTGAAAGTACTGGTTCATCTGTAATTTTGACCGCCAAATAAAAATACCAACACCTGCTTAAATACATGTCAATGTTCTAAAATGAATGAATGAATATCTTTATGTAGTGAGATGACCTGACAGCCAAAATGCAATATCTTTACATTTTATCAGATTATTTTTGTATTGCCTACAGTCTTACATGTATACATCGTAAACTTAAATTATCCTTTCCTATTTCTTTGTTTTGTAGGGAATAGGGTGACGATTCTGTTACAGATAAATTAAATCAAAAACAGATTTAAATAACATAAAAACAAAAACAAATGTCACTTCAATAAACATAATTACATTTTACCATTCCTGTCTAGTCAATTGAATGAAAAAAAAAATTTTTTTTTTGTCTGCATACAAAAAAAACCCGGACAATAAGATTCTCTAGCTAAATGCTGAATCTGTGTCTGTCAAACGGAAGTAATAAAGACAGTACTTAACAAAGATAATGTCAATAACATACAGTCTAATATTATATTGACCACAAACTATTCTGACATCCTCGCGGGACAACAAAAAATTCACAATAAACTGTCCTCAAACATAAAGATTGAGGGAGAAATCATTCAACACTTAGCCGAGTCTTGTCACCAAGAAAGCGCGAGATGCGGTGATCTATTAGCTCCATTCACGACCTAATTTTAACAGGGTTTGTGTATCTTCAAGACCTCATTAGGATTATGTTGTAATACAAGGAATTCAGTTATTCATTGGGTTACAATACAAAATACATTATATTTTCAGAGCGAAGCACAGAAAAACCAACAATTGCTAGGTGATCGCAACATTGACATAACTTGTTCCAAAAGTCCAGTGATTTAAGGCAGTGATGTATTGAATGCTCTCATGTCAATCTTGTAATGAGCTACTGACAGTGAATACAATCTGTGACATATTCTGTCACAACCAATCATATTCATTATAATGTAGTCATTGTACTTTAACAAGAAAATCCCACTAGACCGTTGCTCAGTCTATATCTTTCAAGAAATATTGCATGTCTTAAAGTTAAACCAGACTATGAATTTAAACACAAAAATTCAAATAAAAAAATTATCATAGTATTGCAAGCAATCCATAAGTCCCCTACCGGTAAGAGCCCAAGCAACATTCTGAAGGGCCATTGGCCATTCACTTATGTTCCTATTTTAAGTAAATTTGTTGAAAAAGTTCTTTAAAAGTGATCACAGGAAACAGTTTTTATGTACAGACAGACGGACTGAAGGACACTCTAAAGTTATTTTTTAAACATCCCTGTTATCAAAATATAACATTTTTAAAATCCTATCATGATTGAAGAAGTTGGAGTAAAAATTATTTGTTGCCATAGCAACCAGAATTTTCAACATAGGAAGAAAAGAAAAAGACGTGCATAATCTCCATACTGCCATCTATCCATATATCAAGTTTCATTAAAATATTTTCAGTACTTTTTGCGTTATCGCGGGATCCAGTTTTGTGGACGGACGGACTGACGGACGGACAGACGGACGGACGGACAGACGGACGGAGGGTAAACCTAAAGTCCCCTCCGGTAAACCGGTAGGGGACTAAAAAAAAAAACAATAGGTGCTTGTCATATACCAACTGACCTTATGATATTATGACCATTGGAAGGAAGAGTTATGACCCTTGTTCTACTATTTTCCTCTATGATTCAACATTTTCATCAGAAATTTCAATAAAATATTTAAAAGATGGATATTTATTAAAATTCAAAAATCAACAACAACAACAGCATATTTATAGCTCTGAGCACACCAACATAGAAACTGACATAATTTTTTCATGTAATGAAAAGCAAGGTTTTGACACGTTTTTAAAAAATTTCATTATCTTTCACAGGCAGTGGTAGTTTCAACATACTTATGGGCTATTAAAAATGCTGACTAAACAAAAATCTTAACTTCTTTTTCACACAAAAATAAACATTAACTATCAACCAATAGACCAATAATACAATAATATTCATTAAAATGTTGTTGTTTTTACTCCATTCATTTAATGACAATAATAAGAGGAGACAGGCATGCTAGTTTCAGGGGGGAAAAAGTGGCAACATCTAATTTACAGCTTAGAAGAACATTTCTGATTAGGGCTATTGAAGTGGAACAGTTTCGTAATTTCCTTTCATATCAAAACCCATGCCAGTAACAAAGATAAACTGACAGCTCTAATAATATTTCTGCCCAGAGAAAAATCTCGGCAATATTTGCAAATATATGATAGGATACTGGAAGTTGGGGGAAACTTGTCAAAATATCAAAATAATATCACAAGTTTTGGGTCAAGTATCACAGTTCGTTTATTTATTGGTGACAGGGACAATGTTTGGACAGAACTTGTTAATTCTATCAATCTATTAATATTAACAATCTGATTTAGATATTGCCTAGAAGATGGATAAACATAAAGTTTTATTTAAGAGGCTGAACCCAATGCTCTTAAAATGCTTAAATTCCTACACAGACTTTGAACCATTACCTTCCGGAATTTTGTGTAATGATTTTTGTCCTTTCTCAGTTTGAATTTGGAACAAATCCAACTGTATGAAAATACTATGAAAATTTCAAATTTTGCACCAAAAGTCTGAGTAGGAATTAAAGTCCATTACAAAGAAGTCAGTTGTGCAAGTTGATACATGTGATTTTATGTATTTAAGTGTACACAGCTATAATTCTGCTGCCTGAGCAGCAGTTTTTGAATTTTGAAAAACAATAACTTCCAAAGCGCCGGTATGAAAAAAAAAATAATGTTGGTATTTTTTATTTAAGCAAATACCTTATGCAGGGAATCACAGAATATACTAAAATTAGCAGCCTAATATTTCATTCCAGGTCATTTTATTCTGTTTACATACAGTTTTCATGTGCGTTAATTAACACAGAACATTCAATCGAGAATTGATCAAAAGCATTTGGAAACAAACATAACTTTACCATTTGTAAATTTTGGGATCAGATAAACAACAGTGGGCTCTATAGACATTAAAATGGTTCTTTACTCCTAAACAACAGAATTATCATCCCTTATTTTCATTTCACTTACTAATCACTAGGAGATCAAAGAATAACTACCAGGCCATGATAATTATCAGGAAATATACCTTAATTCTTCCCTTTCATTTAGTTATTAATACATCAAAAAAAGTAATTATCTTTTCTAATATCATAAATTGTCTAATTATTACAGACAGCTAAGTTAGATTATGACACCAAAATAATACTCTCAAAAAATGAATTCATTTTGTAACATGTTAAGTTTTTTCAGTCTGAAAAGTATTATAAATTATACAGAGAATAGCAAGTTGCACATTGAAATAATTTGATTTTATGATACTCTTTAACACAATGAAATAAATGATGGAGCTTGTAGTTTATGCAATATATGTATACATGTAAATTATAGGCCTAATATTATAAAGGGTCCATCTGCCCTTTCTAGCGTTGAAAGTATAGACCCCATGAGATTGTGTTTTGAAGTTTTGACACTTTAAGAAACACTGAATGATTACTAAAGGAAAACAACAGCATTCTCACTTGTTTAAAAGGCTTTTGAAGTTTTCTATTGAACCATTTACCCATGTTAAGTCACAGCAGAATAATTTGCTATTCACCTATAAAGGAAAGTTATTGTCAACAAAAATAGCACCTTCAAGTTCAAGTTATCTCCTGGTCCATGGCTATAATGTCCAAAATAATGGATAAAATGGTGTGAATAATGTAAACTTTTGATGGAAAGAACAATTGAGCCGTGCCATGACAAAACCAACATAATGGGTTTGCGACCAGCATGGATCCAGATCAGCCTGCGCATCCGCGCAGTCTGATCAGGATCCATGCTGTTCACTAACAGACCCTATTACAAGTAGAGAAACTGATAGCGAACAGCATAGATCCTGATCAGACTGCGCGGATGCGCAGGCTGGTCTGGATCCATGCTGGTCGCAAACCCATTATGTTGGTTTTGTGGTGATGCGGCTCAATTGTCCTCTTCACATCATCTGCTCAAACTACTTATGTAGGAGTATTTTTGTATGTAGCTAGCACATTAAAGGCTCAAGAAAGCTCCTTATATGTGTGGGTAAGAGCCATAACAACAAATTAATTCTCTCACCTGATGTAGAGCTGTGAGACCATCTTCATTGGTCACATCAGGACTCACACCTGCCATTAACAACTTCCGTACTGAAATAAAACCAAATAAATTATCTTGTAATGTTGTTGCAATTGTCTTTATATAGTTATATAAACATAAAATTATGAGCATAAAATATGTGATTATGTTCATCAAATGCTTCTAGGGAAAACAGAATATCCAGTAACAAACTGATGACAAAATCAAATAAAATCAGATAAAATATATCAAAATATACTTAATTTGACATACTTGTATTTTGAGTATTTTCAACTGTCAAAACCTGTATAATCCTGTTATTTTCAAAGTATTATGATACCTGGAGAGAGTTTTACCCAAAAAGTCAGTACATGAAATCTACAAGAAACTACAAATGTGTCTACAAGGATAAAGATGTCCCCAAATTCCGCTTTTTTGTCAGAATACTATTCCAGATTGAAAATACTATTCGACAGCGTGACAGCTGGACAGCGGAACAGACAGACTTGGGTAAATCTTAATGACTCTGGTCACTTTAATGCACTCTGGTCACTATAATGGACTCTGGTCACTATAATGGAATCTTGTCACTATATTTGGTCTACAGCATGGCACTTTTACGATCATCATTTTCCGTAAGTTAAAATGCTTTATACCATTTTTTCAAAAGTGCTTTATTCATTTTTTCGACGATTCATGCAGGACAACACTTTTATACCTTTTAAATTTTTAAGTTTCTCTAAAACGGTTCATATCAATCAGTCTTTATTGAACAAAAACTGCTAAATTAAAATCTCAGACAAATTTCCTCCCATGACATTAAGCCCACAATTAGCTTATTACAAAATACCTTTGCAATGATCGATCATAGGGGCGGAAAAATCTTACAGCCAGAAGAAAAAACTCACAAATCGTAACCTAAAGAATAAACTGACGTACTCCCTGTATTTATTTTAGAATAATAGCTGGGACTGTTTTAACAAAAACTTAAATCATTTTAAGCATGATTGAATTTTTGAATTGATTAAATGCTCATTTCTTTGTAACATTTTATGAGTCAAACTCAATCAAGCAATTTTCTGAACAAAGTATGATTTTCATCTGTTTATTACGTTAAACCACAGTTTGTTAAAAACAAATTTTTAGTTTTAGTTTAGTTTAAAATGTTAGTTTAAATAACATTATAACTAACTTTGTAGACATAATACTCTGAGAGCTGCATTAATTTTATAACAAGAGTTTTGCTGTATAAATAAAAGCAAATAATAACTGCACAAATATGCATATAATTATTCAGGCAGGAGTTTTTGGAGGCCTTAACTTCTTCATTTTGGGGGAAAATTTAAATTGCTAAAATTGCTAATTGGGGAAAGTAAAATTTAAAACCAAGTTAAAGTTAATGGGAATATGCATAATTTTAAAGAAAATTTCAGTTGGGATTAATAAAGCAAAAAAGCCCTGATGTGGATTTATATTATTTGCAAGAAGGAAAACAAACAATTTAAATCCATAAAACTTAGTTTATATTACATAGAAATATGATTATGCTTTATAATAATATCAACTTTTCCAGATTAATTTGAAATTAGTCTCTTTTATTATCATTATTTTTTCAAGTTCATAATACACAAAGTTATTTCAAAATCCCTTGATGGATGAAAAAGTAATGGATCAAACATGAAATACACCCTCCATTAGTCAATGCTGAACTTTGACCTCCAAGTGTGACCTTGACCTTAGAGGTAGGGGTCTTGGTATTGTGCAGGACATGTTGTCTTGTTAACATGAACATTTCTGCCAAGTTATTTCAAAATACCTTGATAAATGGTTGAGTTATAGACCAGATACAAATTGTGACAGACAACAGTTAAATAAGACATACAGACAGAGTCGGTTCCTATATCCCCCTTTTTTCCAAAAGGTGGAGAATAAAATAAAATTCTTGGGTTTTAAGCAGATATATCTAAATTTGTCCTCATAAGCTCTGTACTAATAGCTGATACATTTTACCCAAGATCATTATGAGCTCCATTTAACTTTCAGCAGACAATTTCAAATTCAAAGTAGGACATTTTAGTCTATTGTACATATTCATTTGGGATATTATCCGGGTTTAAACATTACCAAGTTACATTAGCTCATAATTGACAGAAAATCTTCATAAACTTTTAACCCTATGTTTGGTTATCCATGTATATGGAAGAATGATATTTAAAGAACTGTTAAATCATCTATGAATAATAATAATGAGGACAGGATAGGCATGATAAACATATTCAAACTACCAAGCAATCAGCTAATTTCAGTTTTGCATTATACTCTGCAAGAAACAATTCTATTTTACATTATTTTGTACAGAAATACATGTATATCAACACAAAATAGATAACAGAATCTGAATTAATGAAAAACAAATTTTAACTCATATTTTTAAATTGAAGAAAAATTAACAAAACAATTTTAACTGCAAATAGTCACTTGATTTCTTTACAGATCTTCCTTAGAGACTCTTTAGCTCCAAAAAAGTGCTGGTAATTATAAAATTGTTTTCAAAAGTTTTACAATTTTATGTTTTTTCTAAGTTTTTTTCCTTTTTTTTTCCCTCAACACTGCAGCTTAAGAAATATATGTGAGGTAACAGATGAAAAATTTCGCTCATTTGTCCAGAGATTGAAATTTCCACTTGTCCCCTCGTAATTATGAGTAGAATTTAAGAGAACTCGATGCAGGACGCGTAGAAAAGTGTTGCCTGCACATTGGATATAGAAGCTACTATAGAGTGTCACTCTGAAAATATTTTTTGTATGCCTGTTATTGTATTGTAGAAAAACATCAACTTCAGAATGGTGCATCATTATGGCCCTAAGAGAAGCTTACATGCAATCTAGTTCAGCAAATCTGTAACAGCTCTTCTTTATGGTGGTAAAACCGCTTAATTGGCTAGAAGATGCTATTGTAGACAAATAACCTTTAACAGACAATTATCTCTATAAAGACAGATTGCCATGGGTACAAGGCATCTAGACTGGAACACTTACTTTTCACCACAGAATCTGGTGATTAACATCAGATAATTCTGATATATGTCATACTTTTACAAGTTCAGGTTACATATTGTTGTTCAGTAGACATCAATTCTAAGTTAATTTATACTAAGTTATTTTAGTTCGACTGTGTTGGAAAGCTATTTATATAAGCTAATTGAAACACTCTCAAATAAGTTCTTAGAACCAATTTTTATAACAAAAATTACTAGTCTGATGCGTTAACCACTCCGCCACACAGCCATTTTAAAATTTTAATTTGATGAATATTTTGTCAAAAAGGTCAATACTGTCTCAAAAGGAAATTAAAAAAAAAAACATGATTCATTCCAATTTTGACCTCATTTCTTTTTTTTTTAACATAACTGGTTTATCTAGAGCAACAATGAAGTGATGTGTGACACTTAGATGCCGTAAAAGATGAAATATATTTAAGAATGAAAAAAAAAAACAGAAAATTTTAAACTTACCTTCTTCAACATCATTTCTTGCTGATGCTTCCAGTAACATAATGTTGTGAATAAACTTTACTCTAGCGCGCTTCCGTGTGCGTTTTTGATTTTGAGACTGCTTATTCTTTTTATTCTTGTCTTTTTCAAGTTGTTTTTCATAATTAGCAAATCGTTTCAACTGTTGCGACCTTCGTTTCTTTGCATGTTTTAATCGTTCTGGTGTGGTCATTTTCTCCACATTGGAGATTTCCGCCACTAAATCACTATGCTCCGACATTTTGTCTATATTTTGGTTGTCCTTACACTAAATTAAAAAAAAACGAGAAATTTTTTTTTTTCACTTTTACTATCACCTGAATCACTGAAATATTTATTAATATTTCCTACACAAATTAATCACAAAGATTTCATATTTTCTTCTTTTATCAGTATTTTTTCCTGTAAAAACATACCAAATATGAACCTATTTCCAGAGCTAATTCCTAGTATACTTTCTTTGTATTTTTTTGTGTTCAATACTTTATTAATCACTTTTCCTCTAGGTATTTACCCCCTGCAAAGATGATACTATAAAACAATACATCAAAACACTTTCCTCGGAACTCTGAACACAACGATATATGAAACACTGTGGTGTGATAAATAATATTTGTCTGTAACACTATAACTTGGATTAGATGAATCGTAAGTAAAATATTCTGATGTCTGGCCACAGGAATTAAGTCATCTTGTTGAAAAATCTGCAGATTGGCATCACATTGTCAAGAATTGTCCGAAAAAGTCTGGACCGCGTGACAGCGCTTAATTCCACCGCTAACAAATGAGTACCTGAAACGATAGAATATATTGAATGAAAATGCTTGAAGACCGACCATGTCTAGATAATATTGGAATAAGTTTAATACTGAACGTGTCTTTCATTCACAGCAGTGTCCTCACAAATTTACCATGGAATCTTCAATATCAATAAATAGGCCTATTAAGCCTTATTACAGTCAGTGAAGGAAGTAATTTATACTGGCTTGTTAATGTATAAATGTCAGTCCTTAGCCAGATAAAGGGCATTTTAAATCACGTATACATATAAGAATATTATAACAATAAGGTCTCCCTCCAATGTAACATTAGTGACATTTCATCAAGCAAGAAAGCTTTCATTTCTTTAAGGACAGATGACTAAAATATGGTCATCGATTTGTAAAATATACCTGTACTTGAAATAACCTAAATACATTGAATGCAACCCAAAGTTTGTCAATAAGATAAAAGAATGATAAATACAACATTCTTTCAAACAAACAAAGGTTACTTAAGGTTAGATCATTACAAGTTATTAGTACAGGCAGAAATATGAACTGCCCAATTACAGTATACTATTATTATATATATTATTTCTCATAAAAATTTCATCTGGTTGCCATGGTAAACATATTTGTTGCCACTTGAAAACCATAATCATGCCCATATAATATTATTACTGGTAATTAATCTTATAAGGAAAACCACATGAAATTTAACATCCTTGTAGAATCTGGTATAATTTTCTTTGGGATATTGGAGATAATCTTCAAAGATTTTATACACATACAACTATTATTGAGGTTTAAAACCTTATACCACATCCTAAAACACTATATAGAGATATATATCTGTATATCATATTCCTATGATGCAAAAAATGATACAATTTGAATTATTGTCAGCTTGCAATAAATGATACAGTGAGCAGAAGTAAAATATTTTTGTAAATTCAATATGTATTGTTGTGGAATATTATACAGTAATTTTGTTCCTACATTGTGTAAAAGCATAAATGTACACATTCTAAACATACCAAAAAATATTACTTTTCCCAAGATACATTTGGTCAGACAAATCCTCTATCAATCAATTTATTTAATCGTATTTATTTTCGCTGACTTGGAGTCCTACATATTGTTTTGAAGCATTTTTTTGGAAATTTTAATGACAATGTCAACTTGCGTGTTTAACATGTTACAGAAAAAAATATTTAGGCACGTTACATAAGTTACTGTATTTATGATTAACGAGTAACTTAAGGTTTGCAAGCTAACCCTTCACATGCAGAATTTCTGCAATGGACTTATCCAAAGTCCTATATTTGGAACTGTCCATTATCAATTTAAAGGGATATCAAGATGAAAATTTGAAGACTGTCAGCCAACCGTACCTTAAAACAGGCAAACATCTGCGATGTATATAATGTGTACTGATACTTATTGTGTACATGCTGTGAACTAGGTAGTTCACCAGATAGGTGCTGGTGTCAAACACTTATAACCTTTGATTCCAAGGTTGTGCTTCATGGAAAGTCCTATAAGTCTTAAATATGTCTAATTTAAGTATGTTTTACTTTGAACAATGTCTTAAATATGTCTTAAGACCAAAACTGAAACAACTTGGGTTTCAAAGAAAGTGTCTTAATTTATGACCCTTATGTAGAGACTATTCAATTTCTGAATATAATGATAGAGATGAACATTTATACATTGCGGATTGAAATGTTTGCAATTGAATTGTGTAACTTTTCTCAGAATAATGAATTAAATAAAAGTCTAAAACTTTAACTCATTTATATGTCTATTTATAGTAACATACCTCACATTCTGTAACCTCTTTTTTAGTACTTAAGAAATCATTTTTCTTTGAAATATATTCTGATGAAGGTCTTGAAAGACCGAAACCGGTACACCGTAGGGAACGTGTTACAGTATCGCGTTTTTCGGTTACAGTATAGAATTTTCAAGATGGAGGATTATTTCTTGGGGAGAGAGGTAGGTGATTTTTATTCCGGTCCATACTACAAGTAGTTTAGTTTCTCAAGATGTTTTTGTACTTTGCTTGTTAGGAACAGAATCCGGTATCTAGTCATATATTTCTTCAGACCCTGCACCGCAGGTTTATCGCTATATTGTCTCATAAATATGCAGATTTGACAGTTTTAAAATTTGAATCGAGAGACCAACGCATTTTTCTCCAATTTCGTCATTATTTATACATGCCTAGAAAAAGTAAATCTGCAAAACGTTAGCCCTTTATGTTAGGAAACGTTTATAAAAGTAAATGACCAGTTGAACCTATTTTCCTGTTGGTAAAATGCGTTTGAAAAAATAAACAATGTTACAGTATAGAGCGAGGTAATTTGTGCAGGGTTACAGCATAGACCTAGCGATTTGTATCCGATTTTGTTACAGTTTATACCCAGATTTCGGTTACAGTTTAGACTTCGATATTTTCTATATAATTATACTAGGTAAAATGTATGAATGTTACATAGACTTTTAAATCTCTGTGAGCTTATTGGCCCTATGGCTATTCGTCCGTCTGTCGTACACATGCTTGTGCAATCTCATCCGCTTAGTAACTACTTGGCTAAATGTGATGAAATTTACATGACTTTCTACCAATTAAGTTGTTCAAATGGTTTCGGTTGCAATCGGGGATATGAAAACCCAAAACATAGATTTTGAAAAAAGGCAATGTTTAAAGACCCTTCTCATCTCGAACCAAAAGCATTCAAATCAAATCATGATCATGGCGTCATTTCGAATGCTTCTTTGTTGAAGTTACGATTATTTTGTCATTGTTAAATAAAAAGTCGTTTTTTTTTTTTCAGACATCCTGTATAACAGTTTTCATGTTTCTGAAAAAGAAAATAATATTGAAAGTTATAGAGTATAAATTAAGGTCAGACAATTACAATATCTTCTCTAGTGAGCCTGATGGAAGTACATAATAGTGGCAGAGTCGGGATAAGGCCGTCGACTTCAAATCATCCTTAATTTACTGCTGCAGTTGAAATCCAATCATGACTTTGGATTCTTTGTATGTGAGGAATCTATCAAGCTAATTTACGGAAGGTCGGTGGTTCTAGTCAGGCGCTTGTGTCTAAAATGTTTCACATAGGGTATCTGGGGTCTTTCTTTACACTAAAGCAGGAATGTTTTCACATGACCTCGGTGTCGTTGAAACTTAAAATACAAGAAAGCCAAACGTAACAAAATAGAGTTAAACAGAATCGCTAAAGAAATTCCAACACAACAAAATTGAAAATGTTCATAAACCCTTTTAAATACTTACAAAATACATTATGGTAGATGGAAATTCCAACTTAATAGAATTTAAGGTTGCAGTATTGCTCACTTGCCTGCTTGTTAATTGTGTCTTTTGACAGCCTATCTATGGTATGCAGGCTTCATAATCCCCGATCCCCTCTCAAAATTACCTTTTGTTTAGTTTCACTCATTGTATTCTTGTTTGGGGCACACTAAAGTTTTAACCTGAGGGGATATACCGCTTTTCATAGAATGGCAATAACGTGTCACATTGAGGTTCCATGATAACCGCCATATGAACACATCCACATACGTTAAAAAGTCTGAAGTGTACCAGTTCATGTTTAATGTGAATTCTGCTGAAGCCGGTGCTAGGGGGGTGAACGGTAGCTCGCAGTTACCACTACCGTCCATGAACAGGTTTAGTCAAACTGAGCCTGCAACATTTTCATGTTTTCTGTGTTTGGACTTCTGTTAAGGATTCTTTTTTCTCTATTTTATTACTAATAGGCATTATTATAATGTGTAATGAAATCAAGCAATAATATTTCCATTCTCATTACAATTCGATAAAAGTTACTGTTGTTGTCGTGAAAACAGTCCTTACTTAGGACATTACTTATTCTGCAATAAGTCTCAATCTAAAACTATTAGTAAGAAAAATAGCAAACTATTACTTTCCTGCTGAAGAAAAAAAGTAATACAACCTTTCAAGAATGTATTAGACAGAAAGGTATGAGTTATTTCATAAAAATAATGGATACACGAACTTTGTTTGAAATTTGGCAAGTATCTAAACTGTAACAGAAATCGGGTATAAACTGTAACAAAATTGGATCAATGTCACTAGGTCTATGCTGCAACCCTTCAAAATTAACCTCGCTCTATACTGTAACATTGTTTATTTTTTCAAATGCATTTTACCAACAGGAAAATAGGTTCAACTGGTCATTTACTTTTATAAACGTTTCTAAACATAAAGGACTAACGTTTTGTAGATTTACTTTATCTAGGCATGCTTAAATAATGTCGGAATGGGAGAAAAATGAGGTGGTTTCTCGATTCAAATTTTTAAACCGTCAAATCTGCACATTTATGAGACAATATAGAGATAAATCTGCGGTGCAGGGTCTGAAGAAATATATGACTAGATACCGGATTCTGTTCCTTACAAGCAAAGCACAAAAGTATCTTTTAGAAACTACACTACTAGTAGTATGGACCTGAATAAAAATCACCTACCTCTCTTCCCATAAATAATCCTCCATCTTGAAAATTCTATACTGTAACCGAAAAACGCGATACTGTAACACGTTCCCTACGGTGCGGTAGATCCTAGAATAAACCAGTTACAAACAATCCTGATGTTTGATGTGTATTCTCTCCTTCTCTTGATTTACTTGTTAATTTAACTTATGATGTAAATATTTATTGAACTGATCTTAAGTTAGTCCTATAGTTTCTTAATCCTAGAACTTGGGATACACTTTGAACTGTCCATGAAACACCATCCAGTAGAATAAAGGTTTAAAGATATATATTATGAAAAAACTGAGCTAGATAACAATGACACACACATGCATTTTGATTATAAGAACATCTTAAGTGTTTGAAGAAATTCCTTTTGCAGTTTACCAACTTAATGTATTGATAAAAAAAATTCCAAGGTCATAACTGTATACAATGTATTATACTAAATCAACATTAAAGTTTTGATATTTATATATCTTAGATTTTAATCAATGTCATTCAAGCGCTTATTACATATTTGGTTTATTCATTAGTAAATTTTTATTTTCGGATGAAATGTGACACATATTTGTCTATAATTAACACCCACTGATTGCTTGCGGCAATATTTACAGATCTATGACACCAGGAACTCAGGCCAGGTCAGGCCAAGTCAGGCCAGGTCAGACCAAGTCACATCTGTCCCTACACTGTTGACTGCTGAATTATAACATTTTGATACTTTTATCCTGTAAATTACTAATGAATTGATCCAAGTTATAGCAAGGAAAGTTCATAAAAGATATTTAGCACTGTAAGGGTAACTATCTGAAGACCCATTGGGAGTGTCCACATTGCTTCTCTTTGCATATCCTTTCTCCACTTTCTGTGAAAAGTTAAATTGTAGTTTTAATAACCAGTGTATGCTAACAAGGTTCTATAATTACATGTACTGCACCTCTGACATAGTAGGAACACTGGTATATTAATATATTAAACACAACAGACACTTAGGTTCCTGAACAAGTAAGTTTAAATCTTCTACTGAATTTCTTAAATGGATTAGTGTAGCTGTCAAATGTCAGTTTTTGGTATATCAAGATATGGAAATTTGAGCGCTACAGGCCAGCCCAAGGTGTAGACTCTGGTCAAACTGCATGCCAGATGTGCAAGCTGGCTCAGCTCTTAATTAGACATCTGAAAAGCTGTTTTCATGTTATGAATTAAGAGTACAACAATGTTCTTAAAGCTACAGTCTCACTTACATCCCGGCAGAGCCCCGGTAGACGTCCGGGATGATCCGGGAACGGCCCGGGTACGACCAGGAACAACCGGGGTACATCCGTAACTCTGCCGGCAACGTCCTGGATGATCCGGGAACATCCGGCATTCGACCCCGGATGGAATAAAATATTTAATATCACCGGGTGGTCCGGGATGATCCGGGAAGCTATAGCTTTGCCTGCTTCATCCTTAGCTCTGCCGGGAACGACCGAGGTTATACCGGGAAAGCACCGTAGCTCTGCCGGCACAAATCGGGGATGATCCGGGGTATGATATAGCCGGTAGAGCTACAGTAGAGCTACGGTAGAGCCCCGGTATATGCCGGCAGAGCCCCGGTAACTACAGGCAGAGCCCCGGAGGATAAAGGTAGAGCTACGGTTGATCCCGGTAGAGCCCCGGCAAAGCCCGGATCATTTCAAAAGAATAACGACAATTTGCAATGATTGCACTTGTTTGTATTAAAAGCCTTCCCATTTCCTTTCTATCCAGTATGGCATAAGGATTTTTAAGAAAATCATCATGAATTACTATTCTGGAACAATATATTTTATATTAAATATAAATTATGTATCAATCTTATCATTTTCGGGCGTTTTCAATCCACCGGGGCTCTGCCTGGATCGTCCTGGGCTCTGCCGGGACTCTGCCTGGATCGACCGGGGCTCTGCCTGGGTCAACCGGGGCTCTTCAGACGTCATCCAGGAACGACCGGGGAAGCACCGGCATGATCCGTAGCTTCACCTGGGCTCTGCCTGGATGATCCGGAGCGCATCCTGGGTGGTTAGTAGGGTACTACCGTAGTGCTGCCGGGGTAAGTGTGACCGCAACAATAATTTCATCCCGGATTGTCCCGGATCATCCGGGTAACTTACCGGGATGGTCCTGGGCTCTACCGGGAGTAAGTGAGACCGAGGCTTTAAACTCACTGTAAGATTGTTGCCTTTCTTCTATTATGCTTAAAAAAAACACACATCTCTGTAGAATTTATTCTTATAACATTAAAATTGAATCTCATGAATTTTCCGCTCTTATTTATTGTCAAACTCTAGCTG